GCCTTGATTGATTCGGGCAGTTACTTCACTTATTTCTCTTGCTGACGTGCTTCCTGTCTTTTCTCAGCACAGTTCTGTCCGTCCAGCTTGTTCCACTGCTTCTTCTCACTAAATTATGTGTTTTTGTGTCATCCTTTCGTTTGAACAATGGTAGTGAACTTGGTTTGGTCCATTGATTGGTATGTCTGGCTTTGTTTTTGCTTTCTGGTCTCTTTTAATACATGTTTAGGTGCTAACCATACAAATGGCAACTCAGTCGTCCATGGGCAAAGAAATGTAAGTCGAAAAGTGGTTCCTATCTATTATCCATCATACCTTTGCTGCAAAATTTACGTACACTTCCGTGACGATCGCACAACATTGGATAGTTATTGATCGTCCCTATCGGACGATAGTACGTATCTAATGCGGTTTACGGACTACTTGATGTACAGCAAGCACCGCGCTGCTAAATAAGCGTTTGCTGCAAAAAAAAAGGCTAGAAAGTAATAGTAAAACATTCAAAGGTTAGTTACGAGCCGACGTCAAAAAGCATTCAAACGAGTATAAAAGTACCTCTCATGTCTTCAAATGTTTACCAAGCCGCATCTTTTGTGCGGTATCAGCAGTCAATACGCGATTAGACCGAACGTTCCGAGCGACTTCTATAAATCCGCTTCTGTGGCCTTAAAGTGATGAACATTGACTTGGAAGAAAACAAACGATACCAACTCCAGAAAAAAAAATGGTGACGATTTTTCTCAGAAAGTTCGAACCTTGGGATTGAGATTCCGCACATGAACAACGAGAGACGGTTCCGGATTAGTGGGATCAGCAAGTTCGTCGCGTCGAAACCGTTTCATGGGCGGCATGCTTCAAAAATATAACGAATTCGAAGGCAATGGAAGGAAAACATGAAAGAAGCAGGATAAAGGTTGGTATTACGACACTTTTCGCAGAACCATTGTCGTTGGAAAAATTAGATGAGGTATTCGCGCAGAGCTTTCGATCACGAATAGCGAGAACGCATCGAGAGTTCACCGCTTGCCTTACCGTAAGACGAATGCTGGAAGCTCACGGTCATACTTTGAGAATGTTCGCACTTCGTTTGCAAGTCTCGAGGGCTCGTTATAGGAACTATGTGGATAAGCTGCTTCCAACATACATCGCTGGCTATCAGCAAAGCATGCTGGCAACAGCTTATCCACGCACTTCTATCAAGTGCACGTCACTTCCGGTGACACACCCACCCCAACTTTCGGATATCGACTGTATATACATTAATGTGCTCCTTCAACAGTCATTCAGAGCAATCCCAGTTGGAAAGAGCGCAAAATTTAAAAGAATTTTTGTCTCCTAGTTCCGTCGGTAAAATAGCACGCAGATCCGAGTGAGGAGTAAATAAGTATGATTGTGCTACCACACGACCGATACATATCTTCTCCAAGCTCGAAGCGCAAGCTATGATCCCACCCTCACGAATACGTCATTCATTTTTGGGCCAATTTGGGCCCAAAATTGAGCACCAAATGGCAACGAGCTCAGTGAATGAATAAACAAATGGCGAAAACTGCGAACGCTAGGAATGCTCCATAAACGGTCCTTCGATCGCAAAGCATTAGATACGTACCAATCGTCCGATGGGACGATTAATAATCATCCGATGTTGTGCGGTCGTCACGAAAGTGTACGTATTTCTTGTAGCAGAGATATGATAGAGAATAGATAGGAACCGACTTTTCACATACATTGCTTGCCCATGGACGATGAGTGCATTTCTAGTGGTTACGAAGTTATTACGGCATTACAGTGACCAGAAAGCAAAAACAAAGCCACCATATACCAATCAACAGACCTAAACCAAGTTCACTACCATTGTTCAAACGAAAGGATGACATAAAAACACATAATTTAGTGAGAAGAAGCAGTGGAACAAGCTGGACGGACAGAACTGTGCTGAGAAAAGACAGGAAGCACGTCAGCAAGAGAAATAAGTGAAGTAACTGCCCGAATCAATCAAGGCAATGGCAGCGAAACAAATTAAAGGTTGGGCGTCGCTCGTAGAGCACGGAAAGCAGATTGGAGCGCCGTAATCTAGAGCAAAGCATCAAAGCCTCAGATTGCAGAAGAACGTTAAAAATTCCTTGACTTACACTCATGCTTGAGGAAGGTTCGAAGAGACCACTGATTGTTGCACCCACCGCCTCAGCGCCTGGACATTCAACTGATGACATTGTATGTCTTGAACCATGTAGACATGCCGATGATAATCTTTTCTGATCATTTGACGCGAATTTTTCGAATGGATCTTTGCAGTAGCGCCAACTTTGGAGCTGGATCGCTTTTGCATGGAGCACACACATGATGTTCCGTTTCCAATCTTCCTTGGAAGTTATACGAGCTGATGTCAGAGTCCGCGATCCTTTGCGCGATTTGCGCGATTTGCGCGATTTTCGCGATTTGCGCAACGGGTCACGGAAATCACAAGTGCCCCATCCATACTGCAAGGTGTTCTCCAATCCCGCCGTCACTTCGGCTTGAATGTTCCCAGGCATACGGTGTTCATCTTAGTTGGGGGGGGGGAGCCGCGCGGTGCGCGCTTGCCCGCAAAGGTCCCTGTGAGGGCGCATGCATAGTCGGTCGTCCGACCGTAACGATACGTGATGTAACGTCGAATACTCAGGCAAGTCTGACGATCGATACGCATCGAATGCTGTGCGACAGTTACGATCGTTGCTGTCGGACGACCGACTATGCATGCCCCTGCACTAGGCCCTGTTCAGAGATGTCCGCTTGCGCGAAAAAACGCATAGGCGAAACAATGTGAAATATGTATCGACTGAACGAAGACGCACAGGCGAATCGTGAAGTGGGAGGATCGACGAAAATGAGTATCATACGCATCGACTTACGAACGCTTCGCTCACGCGATTTTCCGCCTCGTGCGTTTCTCACAGTTTCTCACCCCCCCCCCCAAAAGTTAGGCACCGCAAAAACGACGATGGTGAAACTCCGATTCGGGGGGCACGCGATTGCACGGCGCTGCTTTTTGTCTGCTCTACCAAGGCTTAGTCACCGAAGGCGTGTAATTTTGGAACTGTCAAATAATGGCGAAAGAGTAATTGGCCACTGGTGGACTAAGTCCTAGCGGAGCAGAAGAAGAAGCAGAGCGGCCGGCGTCACCCGCGTGTCTCCCTCCACAGACCGCCCCGAAAAAAAAACTTTTTCACCGCGAGCGCCTTTTTGAGCAGTTCCTTTCGGGCGTAATTTTGCTAAAGGAAGCGATCGTGTTGGCTTCGAGGTGAGATTGCATACTACATCTTATCAAACGAAAGATAAGAGATGAGCTGGACGAGCACACCCTCATGGAAGTATGTACGGTACGATAAGATAAGGAGATAGTACAAGAGGTGCGCTCCACAACGAAAATCGGACGATAACACAAAAAACAGGCGTCGACTATAAAGTGGCAAAACATTGCGGACAACGCATTCTATTTGACGACGAAATTTACAAGCGCGCGCCGTCGAGGAATCTTTCCTCCAATCTAGGTTGTCGTCGTGAGAAGGTCACTTGTTCTGCTAGTTGCATCGCAGTCGATCCTTCATTATTATAGCAACATTTGAGCGCCTAACAATCTTTAGTTTTATTTTATTCGGCATCCACTACAAGAGGAAGCTTGAAGAATCATTATACGTTCTGCGGATATAGCCTAGGTACAAATAAGCGCCTTTTATCTTCTCGGACAGGTCTGGGATCATCTCAGTCAGCCTGGGAAGGGTGGAAGGCTTGGTTGGGATGGCGAGAATTCATACGGGATTTCTGTGTCGCATTAGGGGACATCGGGTGCGGTGAATGCCCAAAACGCACGTAACTCTGAAGCCGGGGAGTGTAGCCAGCCTAGGGGGGGTGGGGGTTGAGGGGCCGCCCCAAAAAAGTTTTCCACAGAAGAATAGAAGGGCTGAATGTTGGAGTTACCTTAGCGTGCCGAGAAAACTGTCAATCATGATGCCCTACTTGAATAGACCCGATCCGGGATTCGAACTTATGTGTTGTGCTAGCGAACCGCAGCTGCTATAGTTTTAGTGGCGGAAGCAAATCCTAAACTGAATTGTCTAGGCCTGCCAAGCTTTTAATTCTACTAGGAGCGGTTATTTGGTATCAGACTTGTGTGGGAGCATAAAACCCTAATTACATAATACATCGGCTAGCCCCAAAATCACTGAATAGGTTATGTCATGACAAATTTTTTACCCATTTAAGTGGAATTGGGACGCGTGTAGCACCCCCTCTTCGCACATGGTCTGTCATCCGATCACAGTTTACCGCAGATGATCCTCTGTAGTCTTAGGCTGGTGTCAGAGTCCGCGATTTCCTTTGCGCGATTTTCGCGATTTGCGCGATTTCGCGATTTGCGCGATTTTTCGCGATTTGCGCGATTTGCGCGACGGGTCACGGAAATTACAAGTGCCCCATCCATACTGCAAGGTGTTCTCCAATCCCGCCGTCACTTCTGCTTGATGGTTATGGTTTAATGGAGACTGCTCATGATTCCACTTGTTTCATATCCAGTGTTTCAATTGTTCAAATGGGGCACTTGCAATTTTTGTGATTGGTTTGGTTTGATTCCTGAAAAAAAAAAAATAGGAACGATTCAAGAGCATTTCAATGAACTAATAGACATTGAACATGAAACAAGTAGAACCACAAACATTCGTCTTCCAATCTTTACTGCCAAGCAGAATTCGCAGCAGGATTAAACAACACCTCGCAGTATTCATCGGGCACTTCCAACTCCTGTGATCCATCGCAGGTTTCGCGAAAATCGCGCAAATCGCGCAAATCGCGAAAATCGCGCAAATCGCGACAAAATCGCGAAAATCGCGCAAATCGAATCGCGGACTCTGACACCAGGCCTAAACAGGGCTCAGTTCCTCGTTGACCCTAACCTTCGCGCCTTATATTCTTGTGTAATTGACGTAAGTATTCAAACAAGATACTTCGTTGCAGAACTCTGGTCGATGATGTCTGGGACATGGGAGTTCATCAAAAGGCACAAAGGCAAGATTATTGCCGGAAGTGTTCTGGTGAGCGGAGCCGTTGCTTATGCTTTTCACTCTAAAGAACAATCTCAGCGCCAGCGGCTGACGTCCTTGAGGTTCAATGAGGACAGTTTGAAGTTTAAGGTTTGTTTTTTTTTTCATCTTTTCTTCAATACGTCATATACTTACTCGATGTGGGAGAATCGCTTCTTTAGGATTCCAAAAGTTTGTGAATCAAGATCGTGAGAGCCCAGATTTCGCACAGTGTACTAGTGGATTTGGTATCCTACCAGGCGCTATTGTGCTAGTAGGGTCGCTGAGAGTCGAATTACTGTTT